CTTGTTTACAATTATCATTCTGGTTACTAATTATTTGACCATCATTTAACAGGTTTCTGTTTGTTTCCTCATCTACTATGCACCAATATCACTCAGTCCAGCCTTTTCTTTATTTCTCGCTATAATGACATTCAAAATTTGTTAAAACGTGGGCATTTATTTGTAACTTGTACAACTAAATACAATTAATAAAACTACAGCCCACTCACCGTTTCTTCTTCAGAGCGTGTTATATCAGCACCTTCTTTCTCTGACCTCTGAATATCTGCCAATATCTGACGTATAGTAATGGCATCTAGGAGAACTTTACTAAGATTCCCTGACTGGGGATGTTCATATTTTCTCTCTTTCATCACAGCCATCTACATTACGAAAGATAAATGTCTGTTCAATCACAAATATAATCTTCTCCAAATGAATCAAACAATATTTGGAACTTTTTTCTCTTAAAAAAGCTAATGTAATGCTTGGATTTCAAAAAAAAAAATTTTCTCTTTTATGGTACTTACATTATAGCATAATGTGTACTTCAACTGAAACAGTTATATTAGTATTCTAAGACAACATTTTTACCGGTCTAAATCTGTTTGGTGCTACAGGCACAACATCCAAGAAGAAGATATCTGTTGGGTATTTGTGTGAGTTTTTCATAATTAAAGCCCCAAACAGTTTCATGAAAACTGCCTTATCATTACTCCACACTTTTCGTATGTGACTGCGTGCCTCCATAGGTGTCAAGTACAGCTGTTCGCTGATTGCAGACAATTCCTTTTCATTTAAATCTGGAAATAAGATGACCTCTCCTTACTCAACATGTCAATAATCTGTATATAAAAGTTTTGATGAAGCATTTTCTTAATCATTGATTTTATTCTCAGCACTGGCTCTATTTTATGCCTGCTTGCTATGGAGATGTTTAAATTTAGTTTTAAGAAATCTTTGTCCTTCTCCATGTCTATTTTTACCTTCTGAAGGCTCATTCTTTTCATCTTCCATTTCAACTACTTCATCTTCCAAGTATTCAGAATTACCCTCCTGCAGGGCTTGCCTAGAAAACAAAAAAAACATTCATACTTACATCATTTTCAGATCAGAACTTATTTTCTGGAATATATTACCAACATCTTCACTTTTACACCAAAATGAATAATTTTAATTTTGAAATTATATAAATCATTCAGAATGTGTTCCCTATCATTTAGTCAGGTAAATGTAGAGTCTACACAGTTTATCATATTTCAAAACAACATTAACAACACATGCTTTCTTTGCTGTTTCTGTCTGTTTTTCTTCTCAATCATTTCCCTGGCACTTTTTCTATCTAGTCCTTTCTGGAAAAAGATTTTTGTGTTGTGTTCTGATCGCATAGGCTTCACTGGCATCTTGCAGTGTCCACATATTTTGCCTTTTGGTATAAGGTGGTCCTTGAGAAATTGTTTGATTAGTTGCTGCTTCATTTCAGTGATGTGTTTCACTTGATAGGAGTTACCATCTTGAAAAACAAAAATAAAATAAAAAATAAGTACAGTACACTATCCCTATTGTAAGTTCTTGATGTTTTACATCATTTGCAGAAAATATATCAATTGATCAGTTTTATTTAAAATTGTAGCTTTTTATTAGTCTGTTTTCAAAATCATTTTCACAAAAACAGTTAAGTCTGAGAATTACAAAGTATGTAATCTTTAAGTCAGGAATGACTTAGGCTCCATAAATAAATTACACAAAAGTTCAAAATCCATCCCTCCTGGAGTTCGTTGAAAGTATAGGGACTAACTTTTACCAGTGATTATCATCTCTCTGTATTCATTCAAAGTGCATTATTTGATGTGCTTACTTTCTATGTTCACTCTGAGTGCCGACTGGAGGCACTCTTCCAGCTGTCTCTGTATCGTATCCTCCATGCTTATATCTGTTCCCTGTTCATTCAGTACATTAGAATACAAGTCCTGCATCTCCCCTACAATGTGCAGTAACCCATGATCTAAAGCAGTCAGCTGGTGGGTGATAAGAGAACATTGGGCACCCCTGGCAAGCAATCTGTTACAAGAAAAGCATGTGCCTTTCAGAATCTGAAAGAAAAAAGAATAAAAAAAGAATTGGACAGAAAAACATACAAGCCAAGCATATAATTAAAAATGCCAAGCTACAATATACTAAGCAGACAGACACACTTATTTTGGCCAGCCTTTGATGCTGTTTGACCTAACAAAATAACTAAAACAAATATATATGGACTATAAGGTATTGAATATTTTCCATACGTCTTAAGTTCAAGTTTAATTCTATTTTCACTAACATAACTAAACCACAGCTAATGAAACTATCAGATTATATTTACTCATTTGCCTACCTGGAATAGGTTCTTAAAGAACACAGGGTTATACACAGGTAATGGCAAGGATATATGTCCTATGTGGCCTGGACACCACTGGCTCATCTGACCACAGGTCTCACACTGGTCATCTCTGTCTTGTGGACCTGAGAGTGAAAACACCTTGTTTTACCCAAAGGATGTTGTAACAATGGTGCAAAAATTCACATTACAACTGACAGCTTTAGTCCCAAAGGATTCTTTTGGCTTTGCCCGTACATGTGATAATTGCAAAATGTGTGCATATTACACATCTGGAATTTTAATGTAAAAATAAAGTTGTAAGACAAGTAACAATTCTTAAATAACACATCAGAAGTGTACAATGCTAAAGTGCACTCTGTTTTTAAACCCTGACTGCATATACATACATACCGAGAGCTGGATCGTACAGTCCGCCACTGGTAGGGTGTTGCAGGGAATCAAAAGACTGGGGGTTGGTCAACTCCTTCACACTCAGACCTAAAATCTCGTCATCAGTGTAGGTGCCAAACGTGATACCATGTGGTAGGAAGGGAGAGAAGTCTTTTGGTTCCATTAGGTATGCTTTTTAGCAAAACTGCAAAGTACAGCATGTATAAACATACATTAAATATCGACAACTTATTTACCCAAATACACACGAACTTCCACCATTTACAGTACTAACACTGCAAAACCCTGCTTGTTGAAGATCGAGGTACGTCAATATTTATATCAAATGTATATA